GTATCTTGCGGTCCTTATCGAATCCCGATGCACCATAAGAATGCCACGCGGATACAGTTACGATAATAGCCGAGTTTTATTGGCTATGTTCTTCTGACAGGAATACCAAAATATCGGATATAATCAACCACTTGACTACGTATACCATCCAATCGACCAAAAATACGATAATCTCAATCTAACTCCCAGTGAGAGGAAAAATGATAGCAAAGAGGCAACTCAGCGAAGCTCAATGAAGCTCGGTACGATCGTCGAAGAGACACAAGTGCAAAAAGCAAGGCCTATGTTTTTTATGGCCGTTATATAGGCGAAGCTTAGCCAGCCTTATCTGATCGCTTCATTTTTCCTCTCGCGTCGCATTAGAAAATTCCTTTCGCAAGAAATTCTTCGGTGCCCTCGCAAACATGACCCCAATCGCATGGCGCTTCGCTGCAGCAACTGGAAAGATATCAACAAGTAAGAGAAAATCCAAAAGTTCAAAATCGCGCTCCGCGATACTCCGGCCTCCAAGGGAGAGGTGGGGGTTGGGGAGGGATTTAAAAGTTATCCTTTATTCCCAGTCGCTTGCAAATCGTGGAAACCTTCTTTTTCGCAGCCGACAGTTCCCGCAGCGTCTCATTGATTTCGTCTTCTATTTCCTCCGCCTTATCTGGCCAATCACAAACTGCTGAATGATGACCCATTCGAGTACAGTGGAAACAACGGTTCCAGAACTTCGGACACGTAGAGTCGGCGAGACAGCCTATCTCGAGACAGATCTTGCAGCGGTTCTGTTTTTTCAGAAGGAGCTTTCTTCGCACGCTGTCACGTATTCTGGGGCAAGAGTCGCTATAGTGTTTACCGCGAACACCACAGAACGAGCACCGCATCTTTGACTCCTCGTCCTTGTTCACGCCATGAACGTACTTCCTTGTAGGACACGGGAGCTCCTCCTCTAGCGAATGGATACGTATCTCCAACGCATAGATCTTCAGCAACATCGTGCGTCTCACATGGTCCAGCGCCTCGGCTTCTTCAGGAGACAGTTCTGGCTCGTCCACTTCCATCTGTGGTCCTTCAGAATCTCGCACTTTGACAGCAAACCCATTTTCTTCAGCATGCCATTGACTTATCTGATCCGCCATCTTGTCGAGTGAACTCTGCATGACCGAAATCGATTTGGACAACGCTTCTTGAGTCGTTTCTTGCATCGCTCGTTCTTCGTTCAGTGCCATTGCCCTCATATTTCGGATCGCCATGTACAGCTTGTTGATGTCTCTAAGTTCGTCGTCGACAAGAGTCTCCACGGTGTTTTTATCGATTGACAGTTCGTGCTCGTGGCCATCAGCGTCGTAGTAGAATTGCGGCTCAGATATCATCGAGTCCCAGGCTGTCTGAGAAATCTTCTTCGTCGCGATCAGAATTGGTGGTGAAGCATAGAGGGTTCTAAGGGTCTGGCGAAGGAGGAGGAAACGGAGTTCGCAATTTTCTGTTTTTTGCTCTAAAAGATGCGCGTCTCGCTCCAATTCCCCCCAGCGCTCATTAGACTGAGTAAAAAATGGAATCTCATTATGCAACTGATCCAGAATAGCGCACTGATACATGATATCACGACAAGTGTCAACAATCTTCTCTAGAAGAGCCTCCGGCGCCGGGAGTTTTGGAAGGGCACGAAGAAGGGCTTTGTAATCGCGCTGCTGCTTTCTGAAGTCGTTGCACCGATCGTTGTGGCCCATAACTGAAACAATTATATGAAAATGAAGAAATTTCAGTATGTCTTGCCTAGGGGTTTGTTCTGGGTTTGCAAGGAATCGCTTTCTTGTCTTTCGCAAAATGATTTTATGCATTTTCGGATCATCATTTTTGGTAGTGTGTACACAAACAACTTTACTATTCGCAAAAGCATCTTCGCGATGTGAAAGGTTATTGCTGGGATGTAAAGGTATGTCAAAATGATCGCGATTATCATCATAATCAAAAGAATAAACGCTGTTTTGTACCGTGATGACAAAAAATCTAGTATATGTGAAAAGTCTGGCCACTGAAATTCGCTGTATTCTTTGGTTTCGCCTTGCATGAAACGAAAAAATGTCGTAGAAATCGCATGAGGGTACTTGAGTACACCTGATATCGCAAATTTTACCGGCGTTTTTCCGCATTTCACCTCGCAGTTTATTCGATTTCGTGCGACATTTCGCTGGAAGCGCAATGTGTTGGCGGGATTCAGGGGTGAGCATGAAACCAAAAATGAGTCGCCTTCACATTGAACTTCACCCATTGTATCTGACGAAGACCAGCATTTGACTTTCGCAAACGCCCCTTTTTCGCATCTGTAACAACCTTCTAACGTCGCGTCGGCAATGGAGCACAGCTGATTCCTCACGTCTTCGATAACATGAGAAATTCGCCCGTGGAAATTGACGATAAATTCTGCAAACACGGGGCTGCGAATCCTATCCATCACTTGAATCGAATTCTGAAAAGTGAAAAACTGCGCCTACGGTCGTGCAACTGGTAGCTTTTTGACTACATCTTGGAACACTTCAGCTATATTTACCTGTTCGCATTCACATTTTACGTTTACTTCTGCTGCCCCGCACCTGCATTCATCGTGAAATTCGCACGTGAGGTTTTTCGCACTCGCTTCGGTTGCACAACGCAGCGGTGGAAGCTTTGTAAATGGCCAAATCGCCACATCTCGACCGTTAGATATGAAATGCTCATTTAGCGTAGCTAATGGAGGGAGCGCAAGCGACGTCATAGTAATCTCGTAATCTGCAAAATTGATCGGTACATTCGGGATGGCAGACAGGACAAACTGCGATGTTTTGTGCGGTGACCTTATAGAGCATTCGAGTTTCACTTCTTCATGCCATCCACTGCATTTCGATAGCTCAAAAACGTCATTCGTCTTCGGTGCCGCATAGATTCTGTAAAAAAGACAAGCAGAGCTAGGATAAAAACAGTCACACCCGATACCACCGCAAGACTCGAGGCATGCTGTTCTTCCTGGAAATGCGTTGGCCTCATCAAGTTCTTCGATTAGATCTTCCGCTCGAATTTTTGAGCACTTGCTACCCTTACAAGAACCCATATGGGCACACCTTTTACTGTCTAGCACTCGAACATCCGTGTCTCTTGTGAATGTGATCACTTTGTGATCACATGACAAGAGCAAACTTTTCCATCGCAACCTTATTACCGCCACAAATGTTCGGTTGGCGTAAATTCGTAGGCATGCTTCCTGCTTAAGTGGGTTAAGCTTGAGTATTTCTGACAATTGAAATTCGCATGAAGTACCTAGCGCTGAGTTTTCGCATACCTGGTTTTGAGCGCTAACAACGTTGACTTCCTGACATCCTGAGACGACTGGTAAGCTGATGCCACAAATAGCTAACAGAGCGATTGCTTCGGCGAGTCGACGTTGCCTAGCGGCCTTTTGGCCCTCTCGCCGGTTGCGCCATGCGCTTTTTAACATGCGAAGAATGCACTGTGAAACCCAGACTACTGTAACGAAAGTTCCCTTTAGGATTATGCGGACTGGTTTTCCTATAGTAATAGGCACGTACAACAGTAAGTATATACACGCCACAACCGAATAAAGTATGAGCGTAAATCCCACTAGAGAGCCTGTCGGCCAGCATTCTGGGTTAAACAGCGTTGCTGAACAAACCCAACATTGTATATTTTCGCAGAAATCGAGACTTTCACAATGGATTTGCATGACAGATAGAGAACCGTTTTCCGACCATTTTAGTACAGCCGTATGCTCATGCAAAGTCAAATGGGGAGGAAACCGTACTAATACGTCGCCTTGAGTCGCTTCATAGAAATGACAGAGATCGTCAACACAAACTTGAAACTGCGAAGGTTGACTGGAATGCACAAAAATTCCATTTTTGTGGCATTCCATTCGGATGTCTGCTGCAGTTTCTTTAGTTGATGCTTCTTGACTGACCACCACTGTCATTTCCAAGCTCACTACGAAAAAAATGACAATCGTTTTCATTCTCCCCTAATTCAGTAGAGTTTTGATAACTTACCGGAAGTCGACTTCTCAAATTGTAGCGGGTTTGTACGTGATCTCTCGGAAGCACTTGGTAACGTGGTCGCGTGGAATTACCGCTTTGTTGGTCAGTGAGGTCGCAATCAAGTTCTAAAGGAACAAGTAAATTCACTGGTCTTTTGATCGTTCGACCTGTGGCTGTTAACAGGCACACTTCGCGAATCGCGTCGTCTTCCCCTTTGTGAACTGCTGTTACACGCGCTAATCTCCATTCATTGCGTGACAATACTGGGTCAACCAAAAGCACTATAGCTCCAACATGTGGAGCTGATTTTGAGTTGCGGCCAGAATTTACCCATTTTCGATGTTGCTCGCGAAGACTAAGCAAGTACTGAGTGTGCCACGCTTTCCATATCCGTTCGGTCGCTGCATACGATGACGCTAGGGCCTCTTCAGCTTGTTTGCGTGTCTGAAGCGCTGCAACCTTTTCAGGAGGGATGTATTCGCTGTCTTCGGAATCTGCGCGCAGCTGATGGAATGGGAAAGTAATTATCAAATCTTTTTGTACAAAATCTATGGGTCGGATAGTTGAGAAGTTCTCTAGGTCAGATTCCTGGTACGTCAAAGGTCGCATGTTCAAGCTCGCCTCAATTTCTGTGATCGCCGTGATTAAGTCGTCCATTGTTAATCTAGCTCTTCCTAATGCTTTGTAAAATGCGTGCTTGATCGACTGAATAAGGCGTTCATAAAATCCGCCTTGCCACGGTGCTTTTGGGGTGATGTGGTTCCATTGAATCGCTTGGTCAACAATGGACGGTGAGGCTGCTGCATTTACTGTTATATTCGCCAAAATCTCAGAAGTCAATAAAAATGTTGGCGCATTGTCGCACGTAATGGACCGAGGTACCCCGCGTCGAGAAAAAAATCTACGCAAGGCATTTATGAATGCTTCGGTCCCCATATTTTTCACCACTTCCAAATGGATCATGCGTGTGACTGCGCAGGTGAAGATACACCCGTAGACCTTCAAAAGGGAATCTCCGTCCAATACTTCAGGCAGGTCAAAGAAATCTAGCCCTATATGCTCAAATGGGCGGCTTCTCTGAACCCTGCGAGCTGGTATGTCTGTCATGGCGGGGTATTGGTATGGTGCTCCATTGAACCTCCTACATCGGATACACTGCTTGATGAAACTGCGTGCTTGTTGGCGCAGACGCGGTATCCAGAATGCTTGCCTCACATTGGACATTGTATGCGCAATGCCGCTATGATACTTACCGTGTCCATTTTGAATTATCAGACGCGACAGCTCAGATTTGGGAGCAATAAGGATGGGAAACCTGGATTCTTCATTAAGGTCTGAATGACCTAGTCTTCCTCTCGCACGCCAAATACAATCGCTATCTCTGAACAATTTGAGTGTATTGTCCATAGTCTTGAGGTAGGAGGGTGAGAAACTTCTTTGGTGTAGTCGCACAAGTGCCTTTCTTGCCTGTTTAATGTCAACACCGCTAAGGATATTGTCCCCAAGACCATCCGTGTGGTCGAGTTCCGGGAACACCCTTATGATGTCCTCCATCCTGGCTTTTGGCAGCCCTTGTGCGAGACGCCGAAGAAATTTCAAAGTCCATGCCATAACTCGCTCGGCTTTTGTAAGAGTACTGTAACGTGAGCAAGGGAGTAGTTCATAAGTTTCCGAACTCATGACATTCATGCAGGATGCTGTATCCTCTAACAGCGTAAACAGTGGGCTCCCCCAATCTGAAAGAGGTGTGGATAGGAACTCTGGGCCGTTCCACCATGAGCTAGTTGAGAGTTCCTCTCTAGACAATCCTCGGGTGCCCGCATCGGCTGGGTTTGTACTCGTAGGTACATAACCAAAGAGTACCTTCGGCCCAATCTTTTCTATCGCGAGTACAATGGTATGGACTTCCCTGACCCTGTTACTGACGAATACTCCCAGGTCGTGAGAATTGGGAGATTTTTGGATCCAATTCAACACAATCTGCGAGTCTGAGAGAAGGACTACATGCGAGATATTCTTGCAAACTTTGTGTATTGATTTCAAGATAGACAGCGCTAGGCGGGCACTCATGGTTAGGGCGTTGAGCTCCAATTTTGGGATAGTCGCTTTCGCTTTGATAGAGGCCAGCTTTGATTTTGCCATCATCAGATTTGAAGAGCTACTCGATACAAAGTAATGCGCATGTTGCCATTGCTTTTTCACTGGCATCCGAAAAAAGCGCTAATTGACAGCAATCAAAGCTGGGTAGATATCGAGGAAACTCCCGAGTGAATCCTTCGATCTCCGAAACGATCGTTTCCCACTGCTGTTGTCGGTCTGAAGGGAGCACTTGATCCCATTCAAATCCGTCCACCCACAATCCTTGCTGAAAATTTTTTGCCCTTATGAGTAGTGGCACTAACCACCCCAGTGGGTCATAAACGGACGCTAATTGCTTCGTTACAGTCCGTTTGGTAACTTTTGAAATCGCAGGAATTTTGCACGTCTGGGAGATCAAGTCTGTTTCAGAGTGCCATGCAATCCCAAGCACCTTTTGCTGTGCTTTTTTCGCATATTTTGAAGCTGGGAGCGCATGCTGCAAATCGCAATTATTCGAAAGAAACTCGCGCAAGTTCATTTTCATATCCTCGAATATGCTGTTCGCTTCTAGCGCCTTGTCCACTATGGCTTGTGGGGTCTCGCCCGTCAGTACCAAGTTATCAACATAGAGATTGTCTCTAATTTCTTCCGCTAAAGCAGGTGTTCTCCACGTGATGTTTGAGGTGAAAATCTTATTGTTCCCGCTAATAAAAATGGCGATGCGTTTAACCCAAACGTTACTCTAGTGAATCGATAGGCGATTAGGTTATTACCCTGAGGGAGTCGTGATGTATCTCTCACCCAGAGAAATCGTATAGCGTCCCTGTCGCACTCGTTCAATCGCACTTGCAAAAATGCTTTTTCAACGTCTGCGATCGCCACATAAGGAGCCATTCGAAACCTTAGCAACATGCCGTAGAGCTCAGGTAGAAGAGTGTCTCCCTGGTGTAACACCTCATTCAAAGATGGGCATTTTTTATAATGGGACGACGCATCAAAAACTACGCGCAGTTTCGTAGTTTCCTTTTGCGGTGTCACTACAGCCTGATGGGGTAAATAGTGAATTACCTGGGAATCGCACTTGTCTACATCGCTCTCAATTTCCTCAATAATCCCTTTGTTCAGTTGATCTCGGAAGATTTCTTCGTACTGAACTAATAGATCCGGTTTCTCGCGCAAAAATTGTAGAACACTGCATAGTCGTTTAAACGCAAGGTTATAGTTATTTGGAAGAGCATCAAGGTTATCCTTAAACGGGAGCCTGACATAGTATCCGTCACTACGCCTTTCTATAGTGTCGTCAAAGAACTTTTGGACCCTTTCTGCCACAGATGCTTTTTCCATATAAATAGGTCCAGAGTATTCCTGAACGCCCGCGGAATCAAAACTCCAATAACGGTCCCATTGGTCGCTCTCCGTTTTTTCCGCGTTCTCGCGAAAAACAATGTCAGATTCGCTGTCAAAGTGTTCGCAGATGGTTTCGCTATCAAAATACTGGGAACGTTTCCATGTACTTCCACTTATGAGGTAGCCTAAGTGCGACGGTATTGCTTACAGCCCCGAAGGAAGTGTGCTGTTTACCTTGACCATCCTAAGAGCGCCCATAGCTGGTCGCACCCCAGAAGTACCTCTGGTTTGATGGACGTCCCCCTGGTCTTAGGGATCTGAATGCCTTCAGTCTCCAAATATCTTACATCTTCAGCACTGAGCGCTAATCGTTTCCCTTTTCCTGAGATAACCTCTGTTTTGCATAGGGCCAATTCTACAGCCTTGCTTTGAGTATCCCATATTTTCAATGTCGTAACATCATACTTACCTCTTTTGGGAGTTCTTGCCCCGAAGGTGTGTACCGATAAATCCACAGTATCAACTACAGGCAGTCCCAATTCATCTGCTAAATCTTTCTGAATGAAGGACCTATCGGCACCCGTATCAAGTAAAATTTGGACAACTTGCGATTTTCCTGTTTTAGCATTTTCCGCGCGAGCCTCCCCTGTTAGGAGATAAACCCCGGGTGCTTCGTCCAAATTGTGCGCTTGTCCCAAGTGCAGCATTGCAGTATCTGGTGCTTCTTCGGGTGTTGAGCTTTCTGCAAGTTGCGCTCTTGCTCTTGATGGCTGCGATCCCGTTTTTCCGCGGCTTTGTTTCTGCTGCGGTCCTGATCCGACCCTTTTTTGCATGCTCGTTCCCGCGGGAGGTACTTTTATATCCCGGGACTGTAGCCTGAACGGACACAATGAGAAGTGATGCTTTTTGCCTTCACACTTGGCGCACCCACTCCCTGTGCATTCCCGCAAAAAATGGTTGCGTTTTGCACAGTTCAAGCAAAGTTTGTTCTTTTTCATGAACTCTTTCCGATCATCTATCTCTACAATTTTTGGACAACGTAGGGAATTATGGTCGGTCGCGTCGCAATAGATACACTGTGTCCGGTTTCCAAACTGACCTATTTTTGGTTCAGGACTCTTGAGGGGCTTTTGCCTGTAATGGTCATTTTCTTGAATCATTTCCGCAACCCTTTCCTCTGTTTTTATCAGGGCATCCAGATCACTCAAGGAGGTTCTCGCACCGTCCAATTCTCTTCATCGTGGTCTTGATTCACTTTTTGTTTGAGTAATCTCCGCTGAAGTTCCAGCTGGAATTTTGCTAAGATATTTTGAGTGATATAAGACCCTTTAAAGAATGACTCCCCGTTGTTCTAGCTGCGCTACAAGGGATATCAAGTATTCAAGGAGTTTGCGCTGCTCGCTAATTTGGTTGCTTTTCGCCGTTGCAGTCTCTATTCGCATCTGGAGGTTACGCACTAGCTTGGCTTTATCGCCGAACTTAGAATGTAAGAGTTCCAGCGCCGCAGCATAGTTTTCCTCTGTGATAGGATATCTCCTTATTGCCTCCTTCGCACTCCCTTTTAGGGCTTGTAACAGATAATTGAATTTTTGTAACCCACTTAAATTCTGTTCGTGGATATTTGCGCGGAACAAAGACCAAAAATTTTCAAAATCACTCATTCTCCCATCGAAGGTTGGTATGGGTATTTTTGGCAGCTCAGTGTTCCCCAAGGGGCTCCCCCCTACAGGTCGTTCCTCTGTGCCCGTTAGTTGAAGTCTCGCCTTTTTGGATTCCATTCGAATTACTAGGCTATGCGCTTTCTCTAGAGCGTCCTGGGATTCTTCAATGTAGCCCTGAATTAGCTTATCTTGCTCTTCCGGAAGTGGATCAACGAGATTATCAACCGCTTGAGTAAACCCGTTCAGGGTGTTTTCTAACAACTTCATGCTTTCCCTGAGTGCAGTTACGCCTTCGACCAAAACTGTTAGCGAACATGTACTATCCAAATTGGGCTCATATTCCCCTATCAAACGGAGGAGCATGTTCTTATACCTTGTTAGAAGTCCCTTCTGGTGCGCAAAATAGTCGGACCACTCATATCGCAACTTTAGGTTCGCAATCAGAAAAATCAGAATCTTCACAAAAGCGCAAATCGAGATGAATCGAAAACAGAATCGCTCAACTCAAAGCCAAGGGAAAATCTTACCTGTATCTTGCGGTCCTTATCGAATCCCGATGCACCATAAGAATGCCACGCGGATACAGTTACGATAATAGCCGAGTTTTATTGGCTATGTTCTTCTGACAGGAATACCAAAATATCGGATATAATCAACCACTTGACTACGTATACCATCCAATCGACCAAAAATACGATAATCTCAATCTAACTCCCAGTGAGAGGAAAAATGATAGCAAAGAGGCAACTCAGCGAAGCTCAATGAAGCTCGGTACGATCGTCGAAGAGACACAAGTGCAAAAAGCAAGGCCTATGTTTTTTATGGCCGTTATATAGGCGAAGCTTAGCCAGCCTTATCTGATCGCTTCATTTTTCCTCTCGCGTCGCATTAGAAAATTCCTTTCGCAAGAAATTCTTCGGTGCCCTCGCAAACATGACCCCAATCGCATGGCGCTTCGCTGCAGCAACTGGAAAGATATCAACAATAAGAGAAAATCCAAAAGTTCAAAATCGCGCTCCGCGATATGGAGATCGATGAGTGAACAGTTCCTGGGATGGGGTTGCGAGAGTGGCTTCTGGGGTTCAAAGTTCACTTATTGACATTGACTTATTCGTGATCAAATTTCGATGCTCGGTCGGTTAACAAGAAAATAATTAAATTTTTCTTAGAAAAATG